TTTCTTTCTTTCTTTCTTTCTTTCTTTCTTTCTTTCTTTCTTTCTATCCCATTTGTGTGTGTGTGTGTGTGTGTGTGTGTGTGTGTGTGAGTGTGTGTGAGACATGTGAGAAATATCCACCGAGGAGGCCAGAAGAGGATGTCAGACCACTGGAGATAGAGTTACAGATGGCTTGAGAGCCACCTACTATGGGTGCTGGGAACTGAACTTAGGTCCTTTGGAAGAACAGGTTTAGTTTTACGGGTACTCTGCTTTAAAATCTGGGGAAGCTGATTTAAAAAGATGTCTGTTGACAAAGGTGCTTGCCCCTATGCCTGACACCCTCAGTTCTATCCCCAGATCCCACACAGTGAGAGACTGAACTCTCACAGATTGTCCTCTGACTTCAAACACATGCCACGGCACGCGGATGCCTGCTCCCCATGAATGTGTGCACGCACAGACACAAAATAAGTCAGCAAGGAAATTCAATTCCCTGGAGAGTGCCTGCTTGACAGACTTCCCTAATGTGAGCCATCTCCCCTCTGCTGCCCACAGCCCACCTTGAGGGAGACAAGAGGGAAAAAAAGCAAGGAATGTTGGTGAGGAAGGGACTGGTGAAGTAAGGAGAGAGAAGTATAGGGAGAGAGAAAACTCCAGAACAGTCAATAAAGTAGAAAGAAAGGAAAATGGGCACCAGGGAAAGAAAAGGCCTGGGCAGGAGTGAGCTGTAGGTGTCTAGTCTCCTTAGCTAAAAAGATGACAATAGGCCACATCCGATGGATTATTGATGGATGTTGTTGTTGTTATTGTTATTATTTGGAAGCATATTAAAAAACACTCTATCATTGAGCTATGTCCCCAGATCTGAATTTTCTTTCTTTTTCTTTCCTTCTTTCTCTTTCTTTCTCTTCCTCTCTCTCTCTCTCTCTCTCTCTCTCTCTCTCTCTCTCTCTCTCTCTCTCTCTCTTTCTCTCTCTTCCCTCCCTCCCTCCTTCCTTCCTTCCTTCCTTCCTTCCTTCCTTCCTTCCTTCCTTTCTTTGAGACAGGATCTCTGTGGCACTGGCTGGCCTGAAACTCATATGTAGACCAGGCTGGCCTTGCCCTCACAGAGATCCACCGTCCTCTGCCTCCTGAGTACCAAGGTTCCAGGTGTACAGTACCACACTCAACTCAGAATGCATTTGTTGTTAAAGGCAGGTCTTGTGCCCCAGGCTCAAACTCACTGTGGAGCGGTGGGTAACCTTGGGCTTTTGATCCTACAGCCTCCACATACCAAGTGTAGGGGTTGCAAGTATATGTTCCTAAGCTTGGTTTCAGAATTAAAAAGAGAAACGAAACAAAACACGTATTTCCTCTGATTGTAGGAAGGAATGGGGCAGCTGGGGAAGAGCACAGAATGAACCCAAATGCTTTGTGAGCTGCCATTTTTGTTTTCTGTTGGCAGTGCAGGTGCCTCTAAGGCCTGACTGAACAGGTGGTCTGTTGCAAAGTCTTGAACTAGGGACACCCCAGAGTCATGCTATATACAGCAGACTCAAGACCCAAGGGTGTTTATCCCTTAGAAATTGTGACATCATGTCATCTACAAAGTACTCAGTCAAGAACTGTGCCATCAACTTATTTTAAAATAATTTCCCCCAAACTCCCTTGTAATATTGCAGGTGACTGCGGCAGGCCTCATTCATGGCTTTGTGGGGTGCATGCACTCGGCCGGCAGGAGCTACTACTTGTCTATCACTGTCTTACAGGTTTTCAAAGTTTGTCTGTTGCCCTGGACACAGGTTCCAGATGATCAAGGGAACCTGTACAACAGCAGCAAAGTATGGGAGACAGGGAGACAGGGAGATGGAAGGAGGGAGAAAGGGAGGAGGGAGCGAGGAGGCAAAAGGGGAGTTGTCAGTTGCTGAGTGGAGCCTCTCAGAGGACAGTCATGCTACACTCCTGTCTGTAAGCATAACAGAGTCTGATTAGTAGTGTCAGGGATTGGTTCTTGCCCATGGGATGGGTCTCTCAAGTTGGGCCTGTTATTGTTGGTTGTTCCCCCAGTCTCTGCTCCATCCTCAGTCCTTGCATTTCTTGTGGACAGGATAAATTTTGGGTTGACAGTTTTGGGGGTGCATCGGTAACCCTGTTGCTCACTCCACTGGGGTTTCTGCCTGGCTACAGGAGGTGGCGTTTTCAGACTCTGTATCCCCAAGACTGTGAGTCACACACCCCCATTGATTCTTGGGCACCTCCCTTATCCCAGGTCTCTGTCTCTTCCTGGAGATGCCCCCCACCTCCTCACTCCCTGTCAGTTGCAGATTTCCATTCATTTTCATGGCCATCTAGCCATCTCTACTGTCCCTCCCCACATCTGATCCTGAACCCCCCATTCCGCTCGCCATCCTATCTCCCACCCAGTTCCCTCTGTCCATCTGCCTTTTATGACTATTTTATTCCCCCTTCAAAGTGAGATTCAAGCATCGCTTGCGCCTTCCTTCTAGGCCTTCCTGCATGTATCTAGCAGCTTGGACTTCTTGTGGGTCCTGAACAACTACAGCAGGGGCTATCCCAAAGCTGTTGCCAGGGGCTATCTCAAAAGCTGTTGCCTGTTCATGGGATATGTTCTTCTAGCTGGGCTACCTTGCCTGGCCTCGGTGGGAGAGGATGAGCCTAGCCTCACAGAGACTTGATGTGCCAGTGTAGGAGGATACCCAGGGTGGGTCCCTACCTGCTCAGAAGAGAAGGAGAGAGGGGTGGTAGGAGGAAGGATTGTGGGAGGGTAACCGGGAGGGGGGTAGTGAGCA